TATTGCATGTGGCAAAAGGAGCTTGATGGCTGTGTAAGGACACACGAGATATGTAAGGTGACAGTTCAGCTTGCCTTACTCTTTAGACTTATCCATTGGAGAAATCCTAAGTATTTTGTGCCTGGTTACCCAAGAGTGGATTGTACTGCATATGGTGCAGGACTCAGGATGCAGTTGCAGCAAGAGGGTTACCACTGCCTAAATCCAGGAACCACAGGACAAGCTTTGATTAATGTGCTTGTTTGCCCAAAACTGGTTATATTTCTAGCCAGAGCCAATAGTCAAGATAATCTTTAAATGTTTTAAAGGAAAAAACTGGGAGTGAAAAAACCCTGTCTAAAAATCATTGTGGCTTATCAGGGGAATAAAGACCTCAGTGATCAATTAGCTTGAAAAATTAATAAATCCAGGACAAATGTAGTTCCAGATTAGCATCTTAATGAGCTATTGTTGTCCCAGCCTGGTTTGGACATATCGCTCCTTTGTTGACATTTTTAATGCTTTCTGTGGATTACCAGTACATGACCAGTATATGAAAGCTTGTTAAGCCTCCACGTGCTCAACCTGGCCCTAGCTTTAATACTGGCTTAGTGCAATCCCTGCTGTTGGCACAAGCTCTGTGGGACTGGAACCTTGTGGTGCTGGGCATTGTGTTTCTACCTAATCATCATATGGACCTACTCAAGTGTGTTTTACAAGCTTAGGGCAAATTTGTGAATGCCCAATTATCTATATGTAACTTTTATAAGAGAAGCCAACCAGGGGTGATTTTTTTTTCCCTTTTTCTGTCTTTCTCTTCTTTTTTTCCAGAATTCTGCATTAACTTTCTGTAACTAGAGGGGGGTGCTTTCAGCCTGGCTTCCAGGTCTGGCTGGTATTTCCTTTCCCGATTAGCAGAGAAGCCTGTGCACTCATCTTTTCAAACTGCAGAGCTCTTGCATCTCTCTCTCCTGGTTCCCTGTAGAGAATTTAAAGTTCAAAATGTTTTTTGAATGCCTCAATCTTATTCCAATTAAGAAAAAATCTGTTACAGCAGCCTCTAGACAGATGGAAATTCACACATTACTTTTGAAAATTCACCTTTAAGCTGTGCAGTGCTACTTCAATTTTGAAGGAGTTTTGCTGTCTGCTACAAGTGTGAGGTGAAGTTACTGACAGTGTATCTGTCTCTCTATTCCTTTCATTCAGAGAAAAACAACAGATTATGTATGAGAAACTCACTGTATAGTTTGCATTTTTTGGTTGGTTTTCCTTTTCAGTTATTTGCAGTTGTAATTCTGTGGCCCTAAACCAAAACAAAGTGATTTTCCTTCCACAAAAAAGGCTGCTGGCATTGCATCATGCAGAAGTGGTTTAGAGTAGATGCCTGCAGTATGCATGTGCAGTTTTATCCCATCTTATTTTTAAATGGTTATCTGTGCATCCCTCTGGTTCACAATCCTATTCCAAAAATACCTGGGGTTTATCCTTATCATATTGCCCAGCTAACAGTAAGAAATAGGCTCAAGTGGCTCAGTACAGAGTAGATTTACCTCTTATGCAACAAGGTACAAGATCCAGGGAGAAGCCAGAGACCTGTCTTGGGAAGAGCTTTGTCCTCTGTGGGCCAGGGAATCCCTTGGCAATACCCCTTGCACATGTTGAGAGTATCAGATTGCTTCCCAGCAACTTCACTGGAAGAAATCTGCACTGAAAAGGGATTCCTTTGTTCACAGAAGCCAGGATAAATAAGGTCTAGAGGTTTCTGATTCTTATCTTAAATAACTCAAAGTTTTAATTACAGTTTTTGTAACCATATTTTGAAAATTGGATTCCTTTCAAGTTTACCAGCTCTGGCATACTTGGTAAACAGGACAAGCATCTACATTTGTTTCTTCAAAATATGTCTTAACAGATTCAGGCTTTGGAACAAGCACCCTTGCCAACTCCCCAGAGGGACATCTCACCAGTTTATTGGATTTTTCTGCCATTTTTATAAGGTTTGCTGAGTCTTCTGCAGTTTTGAAGTTTGTTTTTTTTTTTTCCTTTCAGCCTCAGCAAGCATTCTTTCTTCTCTGCCTTTCCCTCCTTTCTACCTCCGCTCCCAAGACTCAAATAGTTTCCCTGTCCCAGGCCTGCAGATAAGGTTAGATGTGTGTTTTGTCAGACAGCATGTGTCAGTTCTTGTGTCTGGAGTTCTCCTCCTCCTTCTCCACCTCCTCCTCCTCCTTCTCAGTTGTCCCTGTTCACCTTTGGTAACCTTGTTCTGGCACTAGGAAACGTTTTGATCCTTTACAATCAACACTGAGAGTGGGTGTTTGGCAAACTGCTGTATCACAGCCCACAGGGAGGAATTTGGATTCAAGGTGTTCACTTGGGAGTCTTAGGTCAAAGCTTTACCCCAGGGCAAAAACTTCTTAGGGCCTTCTCATGGCTGCAGTGGCACCATGTGAATCAAGTTAATACCTTATTCCTCCCTTTAGTAGAGAAGAAGAAATTTGTGCCTGGTCTCCAGACATTTTATGGAGTTTGGGAGACAAAAAAAAAAACCCCAAAAAAGATTCACAGACTCAAAAACTGTTTGGTTTTCTCCTCCCACCACAGAGTGGACTCTTACTAGGTGAGTAGGGAGCTGGAAGGAGATACCATGTGAGATTGTCTGATGTGGCTCTGCAGTTCCTGGGTTGGACATTGTGGAGAGTTTCTCCTCCAAGTCTAAAATTACTGCCTACATTTCTTTATCAGGTAGCATGCAGTAAAGCTTTTGCACTACACTTCCTGCAGATATAATTACACTTATTTCATAGCTAATCCCAACATTGGACATTTGCCCAAAATATCTCCCACAGAGGTAGAAAAAAGTAGCCCAATATGTGCAGGTCTTCTCTTGAAGCCACATTAAGATTTCATACAAAACCCTGAGCATTCATAGTGCTCAACTGCTCTGCAAGATCTGGACAAAATGAAGGAAACTCCTTTTCATGGACAGGGACACTCCTTTTCATTCAATCCCAGACATATTGTATCTGTCCTCCTGAGCCCTATTTTTCTGTCTGAAAGTGATGTGAGTGCCTTTCAGCAGCTCTATGTACAGTGATTTGTCCCCAGAACATCCTGTGCCTTGTAAAGGTGTGTCCAAGTCCTACCTGCCTTGTGAATGCCAGCTGGTGACCAGCTCTAGAGTCTCACTTCAGTCTCCACATCCCACCAATCCTCAAAGGATGAAGAATCCAATTCTTGTTCTAATGTTAAACCCCATCTATGATTTTAAAATATCTGTAGGTCATACCTAGAATTTGGGAAACAATGACTTATGTCCAAAAGTGCCTGTCTTCTCATCGGACTCTGACTATCTGAAGGTGAAATAAAGGGTGGGTTAGATTTGTTATAGCTTTTTTTTTTTTAATGGACTATTCAGTGTTGGTCTTCATTATTTTTTTTTATCCTTTTGAAAGCTTTTAGAGCCTCCTGCATAACCGCCTCTGCCCCATTCAGTGCTGAATGGACGGTGCGCTGATCTTTTTCTCGGTGGGTAATGGATTTGGGTTGATTGCTTGACACGGGGACAATAGAGGGGTAAACAATTGCCTCGCACCCGTGCAGCTCCCCATCTGTTGAGTGCCTGCGCCTTCAGAGGCAGCCGGGCGGGCACAGATGAATGCGCCAGCCCAGCCTGATGTTAATGACATCAGTCATACAAGCAGAACATGTGGCGCAATAAATCAAAAACTAATTGAACTTTTGGTTGATTATATTGCCGTCCCACTGCCTGCTTCGAGCACGGCACGGTTTCCTGGGACAATGCCCCCAGCCCTGCAAAGGCTTTGCTGCCCCTGGACAGCAGGAGCCTGCCCTGGGAGGTGACAAGTGACAGCAGCTTCTCTTCGCTCGCTGCTCTCTTGAAACAGCGACACCTTCCACTCAACCAAAAGGCTTCCAGGCTCAGGGTGTCTATCTGACCAATATTTATTATTTCCAATAAGAAACGTTCATCAATATGACAGTGACATCCCATGTTCACTGGCACTTTCCATCTGGGACTGTTGGTGGCAGACATCTATAGGAGAAGACAGCACTTGTTTTTGTGCTAATTAGACATACACGTGGTAGTAATGAAGGCTATTCATTAGACTGATATAATTTAATATCATTATTCACACTTGAAAGTGCTCCAACTACATCAGTTGTTGGAGCCTGCAAGCCAAAATTTTCTGTCTTGGGTGTCCATGGCAGCATTGAGTCACCAGAAGTTGAGGGGGCTGATATTTATAGAGGTGGAAAGGAACAATTTCTGATGAGAGTATTAAGAAATTAAAAGCTTTGGCAAGAAGACACTTTATTGAAATGCATAAATATGGGATTAGACCCCAGAGCCATCAAGTCAGGAACCCATCCATGACTGAGCCACCTTTCCTCCCCTTGCAACCACAGATGTGCAGGGGACATGGAGATCTATGCACATCTGCCTTTCTTAGGCATCTGCTTTTGAAATTTTACTTTGAAAAACACAAGATTTCAGTATTTGTTTATGAAATTAAAAGGTAAAGCATAAAGCACAAAATGCTTTTCTTAATATACTAGAGTAATCTTCTCATTATGTGTAAGGAGCAAATTTTTATGGTAAATGTGTTAAAGTACACATTTAACCCAACTTATTTCAAATATCTTTGCAGTACTTCTGTGAACATTTGCCAATAGGTTAGAGTTTAATTATTAGCTATTTATTGCAGAGGATTCTCTACACTGGTAAAAGCAAATGTAAAATAAAATGCTCCTATCTGAGTAGAGGCTTAAGCAAGAGCTAAATTAAATCTTTGTGTTAATATTATTCATAGAAAGGCAGATGGGAGCAGAAAATGTTGCAATGAAGAATATGGAATGAGATGAGATCACAGCATCAGTCTGTCCTTTGTAGATCTGGACAATGATCACAGAGCCAGATTGGATTAGTGAAACCTATTTACCAGAAGTTCAGAGCGGTTGCATGAAGCTGAAAGGCAGTCAGTAGGGAGAGGTGGAAAATGCACCAGATTTACAGCTGCAGCGATGAAAATTTAGAAGTTTTCACTGTGATTTCTTCCAAATGTGAGTACATCCAAATCTAACAACGGCTGTGGTGTTGTCTTTTAGAGGGGTGGGATGTTTAGCAGCGGGGAAATATTTGAAGGGAGCAGCTCATCTGCTCTGCTGTGCCGCGCTCTGCCTGCAGCCCAGCCCTTGCTGCTGCTTTCTCGACCTAATCCCTGCAGGTGCTTCAATATTGTGGCTCTGTAAAATCTTTACTCTGGCAAAATTGGGAGCTCTGGAATCGGTGTTGCTGTACCTATGAGGTAACTGCTAAAGTGACAGCTTGCAACTGTGTGGCTTTTCTGTGTAATAGAAAAGAGAATGAAGTTCTGCGAGCAGTTAGAAGTGGGTGAAGTGCATGAATGTTGAATTTAAGTCTGCTGGCTCAATAAGTGGAACATTTCCAAAGCCATGCCCTGGAAATGAATGCATGATTAACATTAATTGCTTCTAATGAAGAGTAAGAACCGGACAAAGCCCAGCCTGCATTTGATTGAACAAATTAGTTTAAACTCAATGGCTGCATATTTCAGCAACAAGAAAGCAGGGAAAAGCAGGGAAAACAAATTGTGGGGCCAGATCAGATCTTTACTTGCAAGCTGCGAGCATGAGCTCTCAGCTGCTTAATTTTGGAATATAAGTGGAAATGACAAAGTGAACCATCACTGTAATTGTATTTGCTGCCCGAAATCTGGGCAGCAAATACGTACAAACATCCTTTTGCAGGCAAATCCACATAAATCATCTGCAAGGATTCCTTCTTCTCTCCCTTCTCCAGCTCTGCAGAAATTGGTGTTTGCAGGGACAGCCTTGCAGCCCCACTGTTTGCATTGCTGCCATTGTATTCCCACCCAAGTGGGTCACTTCTGGCTACTTCTGTGATTCACCCTCCTTTCAATGCCTATTCAAGTAATTGCATGTTTGCTGGTGCTGTGATTTTCCTTTCATGCCTTGCCTTTCTTCAGTCCTGTAAACCTTTTGCCACTCATTCTGGCAGACAACAGGGGATGAGGGACTGTGGATCATATGTATTCTGAAAGTAGGCAAATTTATTACTGTTAGGCACATAAATGTGTTTTTCCTTTTGCACCAGCCTGGGTAGCAGCTATAACAGTACGAGAGCACTTGCTTCTGGTAGAAATCTCTAAAAATCTGTACTACTTACACTGTGTGGTAAAATACTTAAAGTGCCAGAGAGACAAGAAGATAATTCCTTGCATCACTAAACTTTTCTGCACTTGAGTGTTTTGCTTAGAAGCAATTAGTTTAGTCCTCAGACAGTGAAATTCCAGAAGTAAAGGTGATGGATGCAGCTTCAAAAACAACTTACAGCGTATTCCTAGGTTTAAAAAAACCCAAACCACCTTCATTATGTTTGTCTGGCTTTCATCCCACACTCAACATGGTTTAAAATATAAAACATGTCCTGCAGGAGAAGACAGTGAGGATCCCTGAGGACATCACACTGTGCAGAGCAGACTGTAATCACACTGACAGCTTAGCACACTCCAGGCAGGCAGACAACTTCCTTGTGACAAGCTCAGTGTGGAAGTGCCCTGCACTGCAATGGGCAGCTCACAGGGACCCTCCCTTTTTCCTGTCCTGTTTCACTACAGCACAGCACAGGCCAGAATTTCCTCTCCAGTGTGCTCCCCATGCTCAGGACTTACATCCTCAGTGGGGAAGTGGAGGGATGGCTGTTAGACACTCACAGGCTGTCTAGGAAGAGTGACTTTGGTCTCAGTGCCAGCTCTGCTTGTACCAGAGCCCTGGAAAGCCCAGGCACTTGTTATTGCTGCCATCTGAGGAGAGGAGTTTGGCTCCAGCAAGGAGCAGCCTTGGATGACCTCCAGCTGCTTCCACAGCTCCAAAACTCTGCACATAGTAATACACAGCAGTAATAAGCACTGCAAGTGAAATGTATGCCAACAACGTAAAGGAAAGCTCACCTGGGGAGTAGGAGTCACCCATCATTCTGTGACAAACCTTCCTGGCTCCTCAAAGCCTTGGGATTATACACACAGCCTGAATAGGAAACCCCCATTCACATGCCTTGCCCCAGGGTCAGCCTTTAGAATTGGAGTTAATTCTCCACATTTGGCAGCTTTCTGCAAGCCTGTTTCTGTCACTGGTGGTTAAATCCTGTAGCTCTGGTAGCCTGAACACAAGGCAGGGTAGATATGATGAGAGGAGGAGCTGGGAGGATCACAGAGTCTTTCTGGCCAGTTTCAAGCCTAACTCAAACAACAACATTTTAAAGAGCCTTCACTTAGTCCAGTAAAACCATCACCCAAAACCAGCTCTTTCAGTCCAGACGAAAGCTTGGCTTGTGGCCCTGGCACCATGTGTGTCTATTGGTTAGTGGTTCTATGCTTTTGGTGTCCTTGTGGGTCTAAGAAATAAAAAGTGAGACAAAGACTTTAAGGAAATTGTCCCAAGCCAAAGAACAGAACAGGTAATTTTGAGAATTGAAAAAGAAAATATTAGGCTCAGTGCAAATGTTGTGCTTTGGACATCATGCAGTGAAAGTGAAACAATGTCATGTGGGAGCTTGAGCTTATTGATAAAGTCTCTAACTAGATAAAATCATCATCTCCAAGTTGATGTATACACTACTCATTTCCCCCTGAAGTACTGGCAGGTGGGAGGCCAGATCAAAACTGAGAAAGGAGGAGGATTGCTCCTTCTGGAAGCCTGTGGGAGAGGTGCAGAAACTTGGGATGGGCTGTGGTCCTGTGGCCATGGATTTCTGTATTGTGCAGCCAGAGCATGGTCTCTGGGATCTCATCAAAAGGGACTTTCCAATTGTTTCAGCTGGAATCTTCCTTAAACCCTTTCTTCTCCCCCCTCTTCCCACCATGCCCACCATGAATTCTTACAGAGGACTTTGGGGGGCACATGTGCATCTCCACAGCATCCTGACCATGTTCTGTTCTTCCTTTGCAGCATGTAGTCCTGCCCGAAGACGAGCCAAAGCTTCACAGCACATCCTTGCAAAGAGCGTAAGAAAAATCTCCTTTCCTCTCCCTATTTTATTTTTTTCACATTCTAGTTGGCTATCCATACCCTCAAAAGTGCTGTGGGTAAATGGGAAGCAGATCTTCCAGGGTAAAGAAGTGCATCCATGTCTGATGCAGGGAGTGGGGTGGGAAAGAGAAGGGGGAGTTCCTGTAAAGCTGCAGTTTATTTACAGAAGGGCTTTGAAAAAAAATACCAAAAAACAAACAAACAAAACCAGCAAAAACCAAACAAACAAAAAAAAAACTCAAAAAAGGCCTTGCCATGCAGAGCCAGTCAAAATGAACATAGTGGCTTACTAACACTGGCCATCTGAGGGAATCACAGACTTCATTATTGTCCACAGAGCCTTCACAGTAAGCCTAGAGACACCTGCAGGAATGAAAAGTAAGCAAATCACACCAAATCATAGCAGTGTTAATCAAGTAGTAATAATAATAACATTCATGTTTGTCCCCTGGTCGCAGCAGTTCTTGCCTGTCCTTGCCTCAGCCTCGGTGCAGAGGGCACAGAGGAACCCCCCATATTAAAATAACTGAGCATTTTTCATGCTCTGAGTAAATGTCTTGCAAGTTCAGCTGCTTTCACACATGGGTGTGAGGTTTCTTGTTTTCAGAGACAGTTTTCACTCCTGAAATCCACTTGACCCATTCACAACCCCTTGCACAATCCTTTTAGCTGATCTGCAGGAATGACAGTCTCTTCTGCATATCAAAGCACTTCTTACAAGTTTGAGACTCTTCTGCCAAAGCATTTCTTCTCACCACAGACCTGTCTCTTATCTAGCACTTTACTGAAGTATTTTGCTCCATGACCTTCCCTTTTTCCATGCCCTTTCCTGCTTCCCAGATCCATCCTCATTTTCCAAGAGCCTTTTCTTTGTATTCCTGATTCCCTGATCTCCCCACAGAACTGTAGGTCCTCCTGCTTACCACACTTACCTGTGTACTGGAAAAAAACCTCACATTCACTCCCACCCTTTCTTTTGGTTATCAAAGCAGATCACAGGATCCCAGTGCATCACAGGACACCTGAAGTGGTCCCCAGGAAGAGTCAGAAACATGTCTGTCATTTTTTGGGTAAAAACTCTGCATGTGTATATTTTCCCAAACTGTGACAGTCTTGGTTTGGTTGGTCTTGTCCCATAGCTCAGGCTGAGATTTCAAAATTACTCTTCATTCCAAAAGAAAGATGAGTCAGACTGCTGGAGTGTTACTCAAAATAAGCCGTTTTGAGATACTCCACTTTCATTTGTTAAACCTTTGGTATATTCTGTTTTCCATGCAATATAAAAAGAGGTAAGTCCAAACCAAAAGTGAACAATTCTGAATTGATGAAATAAAATACTTGGATAATTTACTTTTTTTTTTTTTGGACAATATTTCTCATAGAACTATTCAGCTGAAAAAATTCAGCTGGTTTACATCAAAATCAAAGGAAGTTCTATGCCTGTTATCTTGTCCCAAATCTCAGAAGACAGTTGTTTCTACTAAATGGAAGCACCTAATATTTAATTTGGATTGGATCAGCTGCTGTGGCAGCACTGTACTCATAAAAGCCTAAGAAAATAAGATAAGAAAGTCCCTGTTTTGTTGGTATATTTTAAGAGGATTGGGGTTTTTTTCCCTTTGGGGCTTTCCTGACCCCAATTAAGGATGTCCTTTGATTGGCTCTTAGTCATGATGCAGGCAGCATCATATTAGCAGTGGGAACACCAAGCCTGAGGAATGGTCTGCAGCTCCAGCTACAAAAACAAGGATGGCTCTCAAACCAAAGTGTTTGACTGAGCACAGCCAACTCTTAGACATTCCCCTTCCCCAGTGGGATGCAGCTGCTAGCAGCTGGTAAGCAAGCATTGAAGGAAATTGCACGTACTGGAATAGACGTGCTTGTGAGGAAGCCGTGATTGCCAATTTCTGGACCCACAGAAGAGTCGCAGAATGATTGTTTATTTTTCACTTTTACATCTGCACCTGCAGTCAGAGCTGTAGAAATGCCTCAGCTAACATGAAATCTTCTGCTCTGGTGATTGCAGTGGATGCACAACTTTAATCCTCAGCAAGGACAAAAATAGCAACCAACGTGGACATCTGCCAGACCTTTTTTTCACAGCAGAAATACTCAAGCAGTGTAGCATTAGGTGATTTAACATTCAAATTACTGACTGTGGGGGGTAGCTTCCATCGCATACAAGAATTCATCCCAAAAGCATGATAATGACTCTGGAAGGGTGACAGAAAGGAGGAAGCACCTTTTCTTTTTCAGCTGAGTGTTTCACCAATATGTATATTTGCAGTTCCTATTGCCCTACTAAGAGTTAGTTCCAGTGGTAGTAGATCCTTCCCTTCTCTTCTTCTTCTAGCCCCAAAATCCCCTGGGTAGAACTGTCTGGACACCAGTACCTGTCTACTTTGCAAGAAAGTAGAAAATACCCCTGTGCATGCTAGAGCTGCCACATTAAAAATCAGCTCAGCATTAGGCCATCAAAATAACTTAACTCTACAAATCTGGAATTTTCTCCACTAACAAGCACATTGTTGTTCAGACTCTAACTTTCAAAGTTTTATCCAAAGCCAGGTATTTAATTCTCACCTTTTCTGGATGGTTGTTGGTTGGCAGTGGGATTTTAAGTCCAGGATCAGGATGGTTGGAAGAGCCTCTCTGTGACTGCCCTGTGTCCTCTGTGCCCCTTCCCTCTGAACACAGCTAATTCCAGCAGGGGGTATGGCAGGCCTCAGTCCTCTCATGTGCATGGCAAAGTCCAGAAAAAGAGAGTTTGCTAGGCTCTGATTTCAGAGTCAGAGTCCTGCAAACAGACTGGTCCAGCCAAAGGATTTACAGATTCTAAAAACAGTAGGTTTTTAGAGAGCAGTTTGCTAATTCTGCATAGTTTGGCTGACTCTGCCATTTGCACAGATTTAAATTTCCTGGTATGTCTAGAAAAGAAAAGTGACTCCAAGTTGATCCTTCTGCTTTACCCTAGGTACCCTAGAGAAATGTCAGCTCCACTTTAGATCAAAACCAAGCTACAGCAGGTTTAGTTTCCTGACCTAGATAAGTCTTTACATATTACAGTAATGGGTGAGGTAGCCAAAGTCACTGTGAAATCTTGAATTAGGAGATAAGGAACTCCCAAAATGTGCTACAAACAAATGCTGCCAAAAAAATGCTGCTGGAAATATGTTCTAGATATTGCACTGTTGTCCCTAGCTGTAATGGAAAATGGCACTGTAACTTATTTATACAGGTTCTGCTGCTTTAAGGTGTTTTGGCATTACTGATATCATATGCAACAAGGAATCTCAAAAACACAGACAATGTACCTAAATAATTCTTGCTATTAATCAAGATAAAAACCCTCTTCTTTTCCCCAAACTGTGCAACACGTGGGCAGAATGTTAAGTTTCAAGTCCATGGTGATTTACACTGATCAAATAAGCCACTTTCAGGGTCAGAGGTGACTGCAGCCAACATCCTACTTACCAAAAATGCTCTTTCCATGACAATGCAAAACAAGTGACCGCAGCTGTCTCAGGAGCAGAGGGTTGATGACATTTTCTGTCACACACCTGCAAAGACGGAGTGCGACCAAGAGCACTGGACATTTTTCCAGAGATGGTGGGAAAAGCTGAGCTTTGTGGCATTCCTTGAAAGCTGGAAGAGCTTGGTTCACACGAGGCAGACTCCAAGGGCTGTCATTAGAGACCCCTGCCGGCCACAGTCCATCATATTAGTCCCGGGGATGGGAGTCTCCACTGGTGTGCCCGTGGTGCAGGGGGTGATACCCTGGTGAGCACCTTGTAAGGTTTGTGTGGTCAGGGGGTGTGTGGACACAGGAACCTGCAGGAGCTGCTGCAGAGGGATGGGGAGGGGCTGGAGCTGCTCCAGGGGCAGCAGGGAGGGAGGGAGACAGTGCCAACAGCTTAAGCAACAACAGGAGGCCTCTCACAACCAGCATCACCCCCGTTCTGAAGCATCGGAGCAATGCTGAGGCTCAGCTCTGTTGGCAGCTCCAAATTTGTGATCAGTGGAGCTGGGAGCCAGCTGCAGCCTCCTTTAGCATGTGCTCGTCTTCAAGGACATCAGTAGTTCCTTTAACTGAACACTGGGGATGTCTTTAGGTAGTTTTACAGCACATGGAGCATGATAGGCTGTGTGTCAAAATCTGCAGAAATAGGGGGAAACCCCTATCCAGCTGTGGATAAGGCTTTGGTTGCCTTACCTGCCTTTTCCAGAAGTATTTTTGCCAGTTGTTGGGTGTTACCTTGGTTTTTTAAGATTTTCTAAACCTTCTGATGTTAACATTCTTGTAGTGAACTTTCTCACACACTTTCTGTAAATAACTCATTGTTTTGCATTCCTTTATGGAAGAAGAAAGAGTTGATAAACTGTTGGTTTAACCAGTGTCATTGGAGAGGTGTCACTGTCACCCTCCAATCTGCTGTCACTTTTAGAAAACTATAAATGTTAGAGTCAGAAAATAAACTTCCCTTTTTTCTTCACCTTGAGAACAGCAGTGTGAGCCTGTGTTCTTTCGTGTCCTAATGTGACAGTTGGGCAGTTTCTGCTCCTCATCCTACTAGTCAGTAGGATTTAGGTAATGTAGGCTTGTCCAGACTCCTGAGGGTACATGGAGACAAAAGAATTAAAAGTGGTTAGATTGGGATTTTTCTTCTTTCCTGTTTTGGAAAACATGGGTTTGCATATGTTGTTAAGTCTGTGTAAAAAATCATATACACAGAACATTGCAGATTATCGGCAAATTGAATTAAAACATAATTAGAGGAAATGGACAATTTAGTGTGAGGGGACATGCTTGAATAGGTTCTTGTTTTTATCCTGACTGTGTGTTAGAAGGCAGAGCAATAGACAGAATTAAGGCTATTTCTATGTCAATACTGAGCTGCCAGTTTTTGGTCTCAGTCTTGAGGCAAAATAACTATATTTATATCTAAAACACGTAGACAGCAGCTGCCAGTCATCAGCTAGATGCAACTAACTGCTTTTCTCATGGGCTTCCAACATAAGTTAGTCTCATAGGAAATAGTCTGAATAGTTGCCACATGTCTTGTTTCCTGGCTGGTTTGGATCTTCACCCTCATTAAGTGGCTCTCTGTATGACAGCAGCAAGTCTTTAGGGAAGACTAAAAAAAACAAAGTATGAAACACTCTGTCCCTGCTGTTGGAACTTTGATCTTCTTGAGAAAACTCTTTCCAGACCATCCTGGAGAGCAGTCCTGACCAATCCACTTTTTTGAGGTGTATCCCTGTTTTTCCAAACTCACATTAGCTTTGGCATACCCAGCTGCCTGTGGCAGGACAGTGAGTGCCATGGCTTAGTCATAACTGGTTAGAAAAGAGCTTGATTTTGTTCATGCTTGTTTTCAGGGACTGTGGGAGATGGAGGGAGTGGGGGGTGATCCGCAAAGTTGCAGCTGTCAGTGAGTTTTGTCTGTGTGAGCCAATGTTTGTGAAAATTAATCTCTAGCAGCACAATTCCCCTCTGCCTCATAGTCTCTGTAGTTTTTAATCAGGTACAATATGTAAGTAAGTTCAAAAGACAGGAGAGACCATAAGGAAACAACATTTGTAGTTCGCATGGCATAAGTTTGACTGGTTGCCCAAGATGTGATGCAATAATAAATCTGGGCTCTATCAGAGGCAAATCCTATTCAGTAGAGCTTGGAGAAGAGCACATTTCAGCCTCCTGAGGAGAGTACAGAAAGGTACAACTAAGTAGCTGGGTCCCAGAAAGACCCAGCAGGATTTTCCCATACTTCTGTACACAGCACAGAAGCTGAAGCCAAACAAAATCCCACAAATCCCACAGTCCCCACCTGACAAAATCCCCTTTGGATGACAGCAAAAGAGCAGGAAGAACAAGCAGCCTTTCAGCTCCCCCATGACCTCGAGAGAGCACCTGTTAGGAAAATTAATCCACAAACACCAGAGGTTTATGGCCAAAAAGGAGACAGAAGAGTCCTTTCTGGCTTTATTCGAATAAAGGGAGAGGCCACGGGGCATTCCCCTGGGATCTCTCCAATTTTTGGAGGACACAGCCTCCCTTTTTATCCTAATTTCCCAGCCCTGTTTCCCTTCTCTCTTTCCCCATTGCTGAGGTACTTGAGAGGTACAGACTCCCCAATGCGCCTCATACCAGAGATTTCCTTCTACTGTATAACCCTCCCTTTTAATTTTTAATTGATATGGAATTTAGGGGGTTTTTCTTCCCCGTTGTTTCTTTCATCTCTCAGTGTCTAATTTCATTTATCAGCAAACCTAAAGTTCATTCGTAAAAAGCAAATATCTTTTTCCATTCATCAATCAGTGGAATCCTTCTCATTGTTTCTTTTATCTCCCAGTGCTAGTTTTATCTACCAGCCCAGCTTGTTTGTAAAGCCAAATCTGCCATTCCTGTCACACCTGATCCCCGGGGCCGGGTGTGACGGGGTGTTTGCCTGTCCCCTGCAGGTGGTGGCCCTCTCGGAGCGCCGGCCCCAGCAGGGTGAGCATCTCCTGCGTGTGCTGTACGAGGAGGAGGCGCGGGGCAGCCCCGGGCAGTGCAGAGCCGGCCCCAGCAAAGGCACTGCCCAGCACCCTGGTGAGTCCACAAATGCTGTATGGCACTAAACAGTTTACCTAGCTGTTGTTTTGCACTTGGTGATTGAAGGTTTGCACTGAGTAGTCTTTATAGCACAATGAATAGTTTATGTTGCATCACATGGTTTGTTATTCCACTCTGCCATTGCATGGTTTTTCCCTCACTGCCTGTTGTCATCTTATTACAGGGGTTCCATACTGTTATCTCCTTATTGCAAAAGTTTCACACCTTCTTGGTGTTTTCTCATGGGCACCTCCTCAGAGCACTGACCCTTTCTTCTTCACAAAGCAGCCAACTGACTCCAGTTCCCTCTCAACCAGCCACCCACTCTTTTATAGCACTCTTCTTCTCACTGGTTACAGCTTTGGCCTGTTAAAGTCAGGCCTGTTCCTAATCTTTGATAATTGGCCCAGTGCAACTCCTTAGGGGTAAGATTACTTTCTACACTATCTTTATTTTCTTATATTCTATCCCACTACAACCCCAGTACCCCTGGTGGTGGTGGTCTCTCCCCTGGTCAGTCCCTCCCCTCACCACCTCTCATTTATATCCCACTGAATGTGGTCCTCTTCCTCCACCCCCCACTCCCTGGGTATGAAAGTCCCCCACAAGAAGGGGATGGTCTCCTTCCCACCTTGGAAATAAACATGGGACGTTGGTCCCCACATGGAGAAGAGCCCTTCTGGTCTTTTGCCTTTGTCCATGTAAGATTGTGTGGGCTGGGGTTCATAGCTAGCCAGACTGGACCTAAACAGCCCATCCAGACATGGACTCTTGAGGCTGGCCAGAACCAGAACCAAAGCCCTTCGTTCCTCCCTGGCTCCAGAATGTTTTTGGATATCACAGTCTGCCGCTTGCGCAGAGAAGCAGGCTCTTTATTGTGTACCTGGAGGATAATTCCGTGCTGATGTGAAAAATGCCAATCACTCATTTTTAAAATTTTAAAAGTTGAATAGTAATAAAATGGTTATAAAGATAGGAATTTAATTAGAGTAATAAACATTTGGACAATTAGGATTTAGAACAACACGAGACAATAAAAACAAAGAGTTATGGACAGTCCAGGTACCTCTTTCTGGGCAAAATAAGCCCGAAAAAGGACACACATTAACAGAGGATTAACCCTTAAAAGCAATAGCCTGTTGCATATTCAAACACCTCATACATGATGCATAAATTCCATTCAAACAAAGGATTCTGTCTGGTGAGCGTCAGCTTCTTCCTATTAATCCTAGTGGCATCCTCAGGGCTGAGCAAGGTGGGAAGTTCATTTCTTCTGATAATGGAGCAATTAATTCATTTTCTCTGAAAGTATTAGGTGTCTTGAGGCTGCTATCTCAATGTGAGTTCTCTCTTTAAAAAAAGTATCTTACATAGCATAGTTTCTATTTTAACATTATGTTATAACCTAAAAGTATATTTAACACACTACTTAAGAAAATTAATACAGCATAACTTTCTAACATAACACATATAGCATTCATTTTAATATTTGCAAAAAGCCAATCATAAAATACACATTTTTCACACTTAAAATATCCAGTGGAATTAATGAGATAATGACCATGGCATTGCTCAATTTATTCAGAATCATAAACTCACTTTATTCAGAGTCGTAACAGTCCCTAACAATGTTTTAGAGATGATAAATTTTGAATTACTGAGTTTGCCTGAGTCATCTTATTATAGAAGATTCAGTTGCTTTGGATCAGCTAGAAGGTAATCATCAGGGATGGATTTTCAGATGCTGGACATCAGCCACAGACCTGATTTTTTGGCAACCAAAGCTTGTTCAGCATATTTGTGAGAAACCGTGAAGGAAAAATAGAGCTTGCCAATACAAAACCAAGGAGATGAGTAAACACAAACAGAGTGGCCGTTCAGCTCCTCCAACACTGGTGTGTTATGTTTGGAAAACTGAAGCTGGAGCAGGGCTGTGCAGTTTCATATGGGATGGCCTTCTAACCAAAACCACATCTTTTGCTCTGCTATGAAAAATCACCCAGATGCAGTCAAGTTGTAGTTCTTTAAAGACCTCCCACAAGGCATGCTTTTCCAAGATAAATTGGACATTTGGGTGTTAAAATGTGCTAAATCTCTAAAGTAGGTCCACAAAGGTGCATGTTCATCACATCCCTGGTCTGCAACCACACTGCACATAAGCCATCCCATTAAGAAACAAACCAGACAAGAGTGGGGCCTGGGAAACTGGAAAGGAAGAAACTAAGCCTGGGACCATAGGAAAGGACCTCAAAAAGATCTCAGGACCAGAGCCAAGATGTGGATGAAAAAAGAACAGGAGCTTCAGGACTAGAGCAGGGACAGGAGGAGCAGCTGGGACTGGCTCAGGGTAAAGGATGGCAGAGAGCCAGAGAGGCAGAAAGGAGGGACTGCTGGTCTCTGCTGTTAGGGGAGATGAGAGTGAAGGATGACACATAGATGCAAGCAAGAGAAAAGCTGTAGGAATCTAAAACAAGGGCAGGAAAGGAGGAAACAGGTCTCATAAAGGGAGAAAGGGAAATGAGTAGGCAAAACTTAGAAATTAAGCTTAAATTAGAACCACCACCAAACAAACAAAAGAACAGAGATGAGGCCATTAGCATGTTTATTGCTACCATCAGAAATCCTGCACAAACAGCAAAGCAGAAGGACAGTCCATTCCAGCATTCTGGAAGGAATTCACATTGCATCCACCCACCACTGCCCTGAGGGCAGCAGCAGCTACAAACCTTATGAAGCCAGGAGGACTTTCCTTTGCTTACATATTTTGCTAAAAGTTTGCAAGAGTATTTTCAGTATCTAATAAGAGGGACGGGCTGAAGGGAAGAATCAGGCAAAATAAGAGAAAACAAAACCAAATAAAAAGAAAAACCATGGGCACGAGCTGAAGCACTGCTGATCCACTTGCTGGATACTGTCAGTACCTAATATGCACAATGAGAGGAGGTAATTGCATTAACTTTGACGTGAGGGGATACAGTAAGGTACCTAATGGAATTAGTGGAGGGGGGGTGGAGCAGGAAGAAGGAAGCTGGTTAGGATATTTATCACAGTCAAATATTGCCCCCAGAAGGAGGAGACAGCTCCAGTTGCTAAGTCATGCTGGAGACAGCACTGTAAGCAGCACCCTGGCTATTTCCAAATTTGCTGTTGTTATTTATATTCCATTGGTCAAAGCAGTAGAGAGGTCCATGTTCCCCCAGCCAAATAGGAGGACTTGGCCACATGAAAAAAATCTGTCATCCCTCACTCATATATTTCCTTGGCACAGTGGGAAGGAATGTCAGTGAGCATTTATCCATGGATAAGCTATCAGATGAGCAATTACTTGAAACTGAAGGGTAACCTTCAGAGCTGAGGACAGCAGAGAGAGAGATGTCACTCAGCCACAGGCAGAAAGGTGGAAATCCCTCCCTGTGAGAGGGTTGACATAGCACACATCTCTGCCCAGGTTAAAATAACTCCCCAGAGCAATACAGAAAGGAGAGAATGATCTCCTAGGCAGGACAAAGCTGCAGTGGGGGCTGAGGAGCAGCATTTGGGCTCTTTGCTTGTAGAAATATTGTAGAAATATGTGAGTGTTTACAGAGGGGGAAAGGTTCCCACTTAGCTTGGTCTGCTAAGGGCAGCTTGTCATCTCATTTGAAAAGTCCAGGAGCGAGCTGAGACTTTCCAGAATGACTTAAGCAGCTCCACAATCACTTATAGATGACATCACAATAGATGACCACTCTGCTCTTTTGGCTATAATCAAATCTGGTGGGACTGTAACCTGTGTCTGGGCTCTGTCCATATCTGGGTTTCACTGCACAGAAGGAGGTTTTTCATAGAAGCTGTGCCAATGGAATAATTGCACCTAATATCATGTTTCTTATGCTTTACAGTAGGAATTCCTGAACAAGAGTCATCCAAGTCCTATAATCACCTGTTGGATGGAAAATCTTTGGTAAGCAAACAGAGCAAGACCAAGTACCAATGCATCTTAAAACCTTGTACCCATCAGCGTGTCCCACAGTAACAGCATGTCAGTCTGCTTCAGAGCCTGCAGATTCCACAGCCCTGGTTAAAGCTTGAAACATGACTTATGCCAGAGGATCCCTTAGCTGGGAGCAGAGACTGGCACAGGACAGAGAACTGCCCCTCAGTGACCAGGAAGAGTGGTGGGATGGAAACAGGCAGGCTCCTGCTCTGGATGCTCAGCCACCTGCAAGGGCTGGGAGAAATCAGCCTCTTGTCTCTCAGGGAATTGCACAAATTGGGAAAAAAATAATTTCTCAAGTGGAACAAGCATCAAATAATTTGTTTTCTCCAGAGTGCCATCCTGACACAATAATCTCCAAAGTCAGAAACATAAATAAAGAGTTGATGGGAAAATTATCATACAAACCCCCAAAATGTGTTCTCTAATAGGCAGAAAAAATATTATGGTTAAAAATGACTCACCTTTACTAAAATGTTCTCCCTCTCTTCTTTGTCTTACAGAGCCCCGCTAATTTTCATAGCCTCTACATTTAATAATACATTTTTTTTTTCAAAGAAAAAAAATATTTTGAATATTTTCTGGCCAACACTAGACCATGCTGTTGAAACTTTATGGTTTCAGAGGCTCTTTTGGATGGCTGAAGCACGCTTGCTTGCTGATAACTGGGCTACACTTAAGAAAAATGACAGTACAATACTTAAAGATGGTTAAAACTAATGTTATTCAGTATAATGAATACAATTGAACCTACTAATAATTAACTTAATTAAATTTCAAAGGATGCTTGAAATACTGACTTCAAACATCTCTAAGTCTTAGGATACTTGAAAAACACATTTAAATGTACCCAGTCTCAGATTAATCCTAGCAGTAGTAGCCCTAGAAAGCTTAAGACCAGTTATGGTAGCAACAATTATATGAACTTTTTTTTCAGAGTTGCCAGTAAACTCAATAAGTATGCTTATCGCCTGAAATAATGAGATCACCTCACAATTTGACTTTTTTTTTTTATTTCTGGGCAACTCACCCTTAAACTTGCTGTCTTGGAGGATATGCTGTTCTCAGAGACTCAGCTCTGGAGGGCAATTTATGGTCAAGTCAGACAAGGAGGAAGTGGATGATTCAGCACTTTTGGGGCCATGGCAGAACTGGAGCATAACCAGGGTGCCCCCACACCACAGAGCAGCCCACAACAAAACAGGGAAACTCCTCTGAATGCTGAAGGAGCTGTGATAGCTGAGACATCAGCTTCCCAGGCAGCCCTGGAGGTGGGGAGCAGCAAGAGGCAGGCTGCTCACTCTGCACCAAACCTCACTGCCTCACGAAGCTAAACACAAAAACTAGGGAATAAAAAGCTCTGAAGTGCCCCTTCTTGGATGGGAGGTGTAGCTGTGGCTTACTCAAGTCCTGTGCTGAGCTCAGTGAGAATATTCACGTGAGCAACTGGCGATTGTGTGGGTGAGAGTTGGGCCGTCAAATCCTTAACCTGCTTTCTCTTGTTAAGAGACTTACAGCAGTTATTGATTTTCTTAAAACAGCCTCTTTCCTCAGATGAACTGCTGTCCCCACTCATCAGTGGCATTTCCTAATGATGTGCTCTATCCTCCCCCAGATTCCTCCATCTCCAGTTGCCCATATCACGGTGAAAGCTGTGGCTGTCACAGGCTCGCCCACACGCGACCGCGCTTCTACAGAAGAGTAAGTGCCTTCTGTTGGGAAAATTAATCCACAAACACCAGAGGTTTATGGCCAAAAAGGAGACAGAAGAGTCCTTTTACTTTATTCGAATAAAGGGAGAGGCCATGGGGCATTCCCCTGGGATCTCTCCAATTTTTGGAGGACACAGCCTCCCTTTTTATCCCAATTTCCCAGCTCTGTTTCCCTTCTCTCTTTCCCCATTGGCTGAGGTATTGAGAGGTACAGACGCCTCATATCAGAGATTTTCTTCTAATGTATAACCCTCCCTTTTAATTTTTAATTCATATGGAATTTAGGGGGTTTTTCTTCCCCATTGCTTCTTTCATCTTTCAAGGCCTAATTTTGTTTATCAGCAAACCTAAAGTTCATTTGTAACAGCAAATATATTTTTCCATTCATCAATCAGTGGAATCCTTCCCATCATTTCTTTTATCTCCCAGTACTAGTTTTATCTACCAGCAAACCCACAGCTTGTGTGTAAAGACAAATCTGCCATTCCTCTCACTTCCCACCCTCCAGACATGCCTCTTGCTTCCCAAAGGCAGGGACAGATTGCTAAAAGTTATGCAGATTTTATTAACAGCCATGGCCATTTATACAGCTATCTCAGTGCCCATTACAGCTCTACTTTATCACTGGGAAAAAAATCATCGTAATTCAAAATAAAAGTATTTTCCCCCTAAGAAGTCTGTAATATTTACACTAAAATGTGATTAGAAAATGTAATTAATTGAAGAAAAAAAATTTATGTCACAAAGTCTAATTAAGGAACAGCTTGATCATAGTACAAATGCACTCATCACCAGGCAGTTAACCCAGACATGGATCTGGGTGGGATTTGAGATGCCACTGTTGTCACCTGAGGGACAGTAACTAGTTCATTGTCACAGTGTCCTTGCACTCCATTCACAGAGATGGCAGTTCTAATGGAGCTCATCGCTGCCATGTGGTCCCTGGGGCTTTGGTGGAATGGCCCAGCTCTCTCCTCGGGCAATCTCTCCACTCCTTTTTGGGTGGCAACTGCTAAAGAGGATGCACTTGGAGTGGTCCCACTTGTAGCCTGTCCCCTTGTGTCAGCGTCCCCTCTGACAGTGAGGGAACAAGGGCACCAAGCTGAGTGTGGCAGCTGCAGCATCCCAGCCCCCCGACCCACAGAGCCCCTGCTCATTCCAGACCTGCTGGTCCCAGGGATGGGCCAGGCATGGGCACACCTTTGCAGCCAGGCACAGGTATTGTCATTCTAGTGCAAGAGTTCTATTGTCATTACATTGCAAGGGTTCCATATTGCCAGAGTTCCATACCTCCCTGACATTTCTTGTAGGTAGCTCCTCTAGGCACTGACTCTTCTTGTCCTCACAGCAGCCAACTGACTCCAGATCCCTCAACCACCCAATCCACTCTTTTATAACACTCTCCTGATTGGCTACAGGTGTGGCCTGTTAACATCAGGCCTGCTCCTAATCTTTAGTAATTAACCCAGCTGCAACTCTTTAGGGGATAAGATTACTTTCTATATTACCTTTATTTACCTATACTCTATTCCTCTACACACGGGCCCACCTTTTCAGCCAGGAGCCCTTGGTTCTGAGGGGCTGGTTGCCATAAGCAAGGGAGGAAGGGCCAGGGAGAAGCACTCTGCACACACTTTGTGTTTTATTTGTTAGCCACAGGCAGCACTGGAGGAAGACAACAGAGTATGACTTGTCCCTGCCACCAGGAGCAGAAGCTTCCCTGCCACTGACGGGAGGCAACCTGTGTGGGACACCCAGCCTCCTGAGGAAGATGTGGATGAAGCACAAGAAGAAGTCAGAGTACCTGGGGGCAACAAACAGTGCCTTTGAGGCGGACTGATAAGGCTCAGCATCCCTTGGAAAGGCAGAAGGTCCTTTAGCAGGACAAGGTGCTTTAGGATCAATGAGGGAACAGACACAGAACAGCTCATCCAGGAAAATTATATCCTTTTTTATTACTTGATGCCATTGCCTCAGAACAGTGGGAGAAAGGCTAACAAAGGTAAAAATGGTGAATATGATGCAACTCAATGGCCTTTCCTTGTTGCATTACACTAAAATCCCAGCTATGCTGCTAAATTTACCTCTTGACTCAATGCTGAGACTACTGCTGACCCACTCACCTGTGGGTCACCATTTCCCATGTCCTGTCTGAATGAGCTTGGACTTGCAACAAGAGAAGCCTACGAAGAGGTTTGTACATTCCTGCAAGGCAGCAGACTGATTACAGAGTGCCATTAAATCCCAGGATCTGCTCGTGCACCACTGCCTGTCGTCCTTCCCCTCTCATATCATGAGATAAAAACCTCATCTTGCGATATGCTTGGCTGAATGACACATGCTAAATATCTCTTTTCCTTCAGTTTTGATGTTTCAAGGCAGGAGTAAAAGATAGCAAAAATTCTAAAACAATGGGCCAGAACTGAGCAAGTTTGCAAACATATGTACCAAACTTTGCTATGTGATGAATGATTTGTGTTTCAAGTTGTCCTGCCAGATCAAACTATTAGCAACAGGATACCCTCAAGGGATACTTTTTGCTGTAGAACCTGCTTATAAGTGAAATGGTAGTCAGCAATTTACCCTCCACCCATGTGGAAAGGATATTACATTAATAAGTGCACAAAATACTAGGAGGAAGGAAAATATGTAAATCATGCAACTAAGTGACTAAGTATAAGATATTTGCATGTAAGAGACCTGTGCTTATGAATAGGTGGATTTAATGGGATTTGCTTTAAAAAATTTTCTCTCTCTTTTTTTTTCAATTTAGAAATTGCTGATTGGGTCCTCTTTAGTTTTTCTCTCAAAAAAGAATGAAACAGTTTTATAAAAAAAGTTTTTGCCACTGTTATGGACAATATTATTATTAGCCATGAGCAGTACTTGCCTTCTGTGAGTGTTCTCCTAGTTATTATAAAAAAACCACTGGTTTCCCTAAATACAGAACTTTAAATATAAAGTCAGAGGAGGCGTATCTCCTGTTGTTTGTAGTAGTGATGACCTCTGATCTAACCGCCCATGCACCGAGGCGTAAATTAAAAATAAAGGTCTGACTCTGTGACAGCAGCAGGGGGAAGGAGCTCCCATCTGCACCTTACCTGCCTGCAGCCAGTGCAGTGAAATGCACTGAGATCCATCACAGGCAAGGCCATGGTAGTGAGGGGCAGCTGGCCCTGGTCAGGGTCACCGCCTCAGGAGTACCAAGGCACCACCTGGGTGGGAGGGAAAGACAGCCAGGACTTGTGGCTTTGGCTGGAGCAGCACACAGGAGAGGTTTGCAGCTTGACAGCCTGAGCGACCAAAGTTCATGGACTGGGAAAACAAATGGAGCAGGCCAGTAGCTTTACAGAGCATATGGTCCTGATGGCTGCAAGGAGGGCAACAGCAAAAACTTATTGAGGGCTGGACACGGTGGGAGTGGTAGTAGGATGGGGATGGAAGTTCTTACTTAAAAAGGTACTGTGGCTTTTCATACTGCTAGAGCCAAGTCAGTCCAGAGTGTGCCAAGGAGAGAGCCCTTCATGAAATACCTCTGCTAGCCCTCCCGTTCAGCTCTCTGTCACTGCTCCCGTCACAGGCTCCTCCAGCAGAACTGCTCAACTGGCCAGAGGAAAACTTTGCACCTCTAAACCACACAGACTCTCCCTCCTCATTAGCAAAGGTGAAAGTCCTTCTCTGGCCCAGCAGCCTAAGACAGGGATGATCTGCTCTCCAGCTTTTATTTCTTGCTCCTGGCAAAGAAGGAGAACAGAATTCCTTGCGAACCACGTGCTGGCAGTGGTGACCCAGTGCTGACCATGTGTTCTCTGCCCTGGCATGGGAGAGCAATGCTGACACCCACTGAAGGCTCTCACCTGAACAGGTCCCTGTGAGACAGGGGCCCACCTCACCTTCCAATTAGAGCCTGGCACACTGACCCTGTGCAAAAGTCTGAGCACCCCTGACCCTGCCAACATCAGGTCCTCTATGACTGAGCCAAGCTGGAGCCATGGTCAAGAGTTTCCTGAAACACTTTTTACAAATATCACACTTCAGCCCCCTCCCCAGCCCACAGAACTCCTGCCAGAAATCCATATATGTATTTTTGCACACATAGGTAAACCTAGTAAATTCAGTGGGACTGCTCCCCTGCATTGCAGTACATGCATTCAAAGAACTGGGAGAAGACCAATCACTGAGTCCTTTCTTTTGGTCTCATTTCCTAAACAAAGGAAAAATAGGGTGATGGACAGACACTGGGAAAAGTCCATTTACTGAATTAGGTGTAATTAAGAGAGTGAACATTTGTGGTACCTGTCCTTGTAGTTAACATGGCCCAAAAAGTACTCAAACACAGTCCAGGGCAGCAAGAGTTTTGCTTGTTGAGGAAGTTGCATTGTAGTAGTAGCAGTAGTATTCAATTTATTAATTAATAGCTTTGAGCAGTATGAGGATGGAGGTGGAGATTATTAATATTTCTTCTTAATAATTGCTGTATTTTGACATGTGTATTTATGCTTTTCTTATTTATTTATTTATAATTTGGATCCACAAGAGAAGGAGCTATTTACAAGAAGCATATTTAATTTCCTTGTATTCCAGGAACTGCTGTGAAGATTTTTTGTATTGTAGTATTTATTTTATTGATTTAAAACTATGTTCTATTCTTTAAAAAAAACCAAACAAACAATAAAATAAGTAGCATGTGGTTACATACGGATCTCAGAGACTTAGGAGTTTTTTGGAAGCATTTAGTGGCAAGTAAAAGAGGGAGTATGATACTGAAAAAAGGTGAATCTCTGATAGCAAAGAAGATGAAGGTTGTTCTCCAGAGCCTGAAAGTGTATTTGTGAGCAGCTCCAGTGTTGTACAGGTGATGGAGCCATTTTGTTATCAGATGTGCAGAGAAAAGCCCAGGCACTGTGAGCAGCTAGAAATCAGATCCACCTTTACACGCCTGACCTCAAGCACATCCCAGACACAACATTTGTGTTACATCCCTCCCTTCAAATAAGAGTGCCAAGACAGAGACTCCTGAAAGGGATTTAAGGCTCTGGTAGAGAATAAAGCCAATGGAGTTGTCAACAAAGCCACTGAACTTACCTCAAACACAACCCTGGCTTTGGAGAGCCCCTGCTGAACCACAGCCCAGCCTGAGGTGGGTGGCACAGGACCACAGGAGCCCAGCCCAGGGAAGGTGACTCAGGACTGCAAGTGGAAAGAATTCAGGACACAAGGAAAAAAGCTTTTGGTGTGGGAATGGTCCATCAACCCAGACTTCACAGCTCCCCGTTAGAGGATGACTTATTCCCTGCCTGCCACACTGCCCATAGGCACACAGCTCTGGTGAAAAGCTGCCACATTTCTGGCTCTTCCATTACAGACTATGTTTAGTATGAGCAGCCAGGGAGTGTCCTCTTGGTGAGTGTCCACACCACAGGAGCTGCCACAGATTTTTTCCAGGACCTGGCCTCTGCTGGGAACTTTTCTGGGAATACCTGATCTTTAGCTGGGCATTAAAAATACCATCATGAGTATGGAAGAGGATGTGGATGTGCAACATATTTTCCAGATGAAGTTGTACAGAAAGCTGCATTAGGTTGACTCCAGCACACTGTCAGAAAAATGTGAAAGAGTGATTACAAAAATAAGTGAACTTTACCATTTTTCCACCAAAGGCACAAGCTATTAACTGTGCAGCCAAAGGCATTGCTTCTGGCACTACCAGACACAAGCCTGTTGTCATAATTTATAACATCTGTGAGAAGTTGCATTTTTCAGACCTGTTTCATGCCAATTTATAATTTGGTGTTCCCCAAACTACAGACTGACCAGGGCACTGATCTGAAAGAAACAGACTGCATGATGGCAGTCCATCCCATTTACTGCCATTTATAATTCATTTGCCCCCCCCAAAAAAAGATTTCTAATTTCTCCCCACCATTTCAAAACCATCTTTGTGATAGAGCTACTCACCAAAAGATGCAGAATTACTTTGCATACCACTTTATTTAAATAAACTGTAGTGAATTTAGGTTGGGCTAATATATAAAATAATTCCTATTGATGCATGAAAAAACCACCTCAGATATGCCTTACTCACCTTTCTTCCCCTTTTGCTCTCATTTTACAGGTCCTGTAGCAAGCAGGATTGCCAGAAGAGTCAATCACAGACACATCACTATTTGAGGGAATACCACACACTTTATACAGAAAATATTTAAACTCAAACATTGACGTCAGCAGAATAATTTTACTTCTGCAAGTTACCCAGTCAGAAAAGTTGCAATGTCAGAACTTGCACACACAAAAATTGAAAGAATTTTTGAAAGAATCAGATTTCTCAGATGAGACCCCTGATAGGAAACTCTACAAACAATACAGATGTCAAATAGACACTACGATCTATGCAAAGTTTTCAGAATCTCAGCATTAATTCTAGAGATGATTCACAAGTGAGCAGCTAAACCCTAAACTTTTGAGGTGAGTTATTCTGGGTAGTCCCAGTCTCCTACTTATGATTACCTCCTGTGAGTATATCATCAGTGTCCTGGTGAACTTTCATTCCACTGGTATCTTTTCCAATTCTTTTGCCAGCACATGGTGAGCTAAGGTGGGTGAATGTTTGTAGCCCTGAGGAAGCCCTGTCAAGGTACATGGTTGCCCCATACACAAAGGCAAACTGATGATGACCCCATTGCTGCCATGGCACCATACAAAACATGTCTTTAATATCAGTGGTAGTGATGAGCCCGTGTGCCTGCTCCTGGATGGGGGCTGTGAGCTCAGAGATGTTTGGTACCTCTGCTGCTAAGGGGTCTGTGTCAGCACTGAGCTGGCAGCAGTCTACAGTTAATC